CCAGGCCCTTCTACCCAACCCCACAGGGGTGAGTGAGGGGTCTCCCCCATCTGCTTCACTCTCGCATCCTCTTGCTGGGGCTCTTGGGATGCCCCACCTTGCAGCTTATGGCCCCCACCTTCCTGTCCCCAGGCATCCTCAAGAAGAAGGGTCTGCCCACCATCAGCGAAAAGAGCAGCCTCCTAAGGCTGCCCCTGGAGCAGGGCACAGGCTCTTCTCGGGGCTCCTCAGCCAGCGAGGGCAGTCGGAATGGACCTCCCCCCCGCCCACCACCACGCCAGAGTCTCCAGGAACAGCTAAACGGGGTCATGCCCATCGCCATGAGCATCAAGGCAGGCACGGTGGATGAGGACTCTTCGGGCTCCGAGTGAGTCGGGTTGGGTGGGAGGGACAGGGCGTTACCCACAGAGGTCCTGGCTGGGTCCCATCGGCCTCTGAGCTTCACCAGGCCACTCTGGCATGTTGAGAGACAGATGGGCGAAGCGGAGTCCAGCTCCCTCATGTGTCCCGATCCCATGGTGCTCTGTTGGGGGCATACCAGACTTCCCCGGGGCTTCATGTGCGGTAGCCCGACCCGGGCAGCGTGAGAGGGCGGGAGCTGGGGCTGCTTTTCTGTTTCTTTCTCTGGTGAAAGCTGCTCACTGTCCGCTCTTGCTCCAGCTAACCCTCTGTCTGCCTTCTCTGCCACTCTCCTCTCCTGCCTCTCCAGATTTCTCTTCTTTAACTTCCTGCATTAACCCTGGGCCGGTGTTCCTTCATCCTGAAGTTCCCTTCCCTCCCCTGCTGCGCTCATGCCCCAATCCTGTCTTCTGCTTTATCCTGCCCCCACCGCTCCTTACTGCCCGCTGCCGCCCCACCTGCCTGCCTGCCTGCCGGAAGCAGCAGCGATGAAACGTCCATCTGAGGAGCCTGAGCCTTGCACCTAAGGCCGCCTAGTGCCAAGTCCCTTCCCCACCTCCCCCTCACTGCACTTTGGACCCCTGGGGCCAACATCTCCAAGACAAAGTTTTTCAGAAAAAAAAAAAAAAAAAAAAAAAAAAAACACAGAAAAGAGGAAAAAAAAAGAAATAAAAAAAAAAGAGGAAAAAAATTAAAAAAAAAAAAAAAAGGATCTTCACTCTTCATGACTTCAGGGATTAATTTTTTTTTTATACGCTGGAAATGGACTCCCCCTTCCCTTCCCAAAGAGGATAGGACCTCCCAGGACTCGTCCCAGCCTCTCTTCAGTGTCCCATCTGTTGTGCCTCTGGGAGGAGAGGGACTCTTGGGGGCCTGCCCCTCATTTGCCATCACCAAAAGGAAAGGACAAAGCCACATGAACCAGGGGCATGAGCCCCAGCGAGGCCACACCGGATAGGCCTCAGTTGGTGAGGGATCAGGACAGAAAAAGGCACTTCCCCCCGGCCAATTCCACCTCTCCCCGGAACTGAAAAGCCCTGTCCGGCCAGGGGCAGAAGGACTCATCGCCCCTGGACCCCCAAATGCTGCATGAACCGTTTTAAGGGGAAGCCTGTGGCCCCATGTGGGGAACGGCTACCCCAGCCCCTCTCCTTTTCCTGGACTCTAGCCATGTGCTACAACCCAGGTGTTTGCTCAGTTTGCTGACCCCAAAGTGCTTCATTTCCCGGCCCAACCTTCTCCTGGGGAGGGCCTGTCACCGTTGAGTTGCGCTTCTTTGCTGTGTGGGCACCAGGAGGAAGAGCAAGCACAGAGCTGGCTTGGTGGCCCCGAGGGGCCTCCAGCACAGGTTTCAAGTCTGGGTTCTGGTGTCCACTCACCACCCCCGCCCCCACATCAGACAAATGCCATTTTGTCTGACCTGCTGTGGCCTCTGAGACATGTTCTATTTTTAACCCCTTCCTGGAATTGGCTCTCTTCTTCAAAGAACCAGGTCCCGTTCCTCGTTGTCCCCCTTACTTGATCCCCGCTCCCTGTGAAGAGAGAGTTAATATATATATTTTTTTTTTATTTATTTGCTTCTTTTGTGTTGGGATGGGTTTGTGTCTGGTCCCGGGGGTTCTGATGTGGCCATCGCAGGCTGGGTGAGTACCTGGCAGCCCTGGATTTGGGGCCCTACCATCCTTCCTCCTACTCCATTGCTCCCCTCAGTTCTCCCCAGCTGCCATTCATTTGAGTCGCCCTTTCCTCTAAGCATGTTTACCAGACTTGTCACTGACTTCCCTTCTAGAGCAGGTGGCTAGAACAAAGGCTCTGGGCAGAAAAGATGTTCCTGTCCCTCACTTGGAAGGATGGCCTCTGGCTTCTCTGCCATGGATTCTCACCTGCCCTCTGTTCTCCTACCCTTCCCCTCAGCAATTCCTGTAAAGGGTTAAAAATTTAACTGGAATTTTTTTTTTTAACTACTGATGACTTGACTTAAAAAAAAATACAAAGATGCTGGATGTTAACTTGATACTAACCATCAGATTGTACAGTTTGATTGTTGCTGTAAATATGGTAGAGTTTTGTTTTTGTTTTCGTTTCCCCCATACTACTGAATAAACTAGTTCTGTGCAGGTCCTGTGTTATCGTCACTGGCTTCTGTATAGTAAGCTGGATTTTGGAAAACAGGATAGGCAGAGCCTTGAAGATCCCATGAGGACAGAGAGACTAAAGCCGTATCAGTACAGAGCCCCAAGCCTGCCCTTTGAAGGAAGATAAGGAGGGCGGGTGGCAGGGTATCTTTTTTCCCCCAGGATCTGGAACTAGGATGGCTGAAGAGGCTGCACAGCTCAGACTGGGTCTCAGCCGGAGGCCCAGACAGAAACTAGTTTTCTGGGGCAGGATTCCGTAGATAGGGAGGGACGAGGAATAGCAGATGAGCATTTGTGGGCTTTTGGAGGACCGGGGGTCGAGACAAGAGTTTCTCTGTTTAGCCCTGGCTATCCTGGAACTCATTCTGTAGACCAGGCTAGCTTCAAACTTGAAGATTCGCCTGCCTCTGCCCCCCTAAATGCTGGGATTAAAGGTGTGCTCCACCACCATTCAACTCTTGTGGGTCATTGTTTTGTTTGTTCTATTGGGGAATGAAGCATATAGTCATTCTGGGAATACATATATGCTTGGTAACAGAACTTCTAGCCCCACATTTTGGTTTGTTAAAGGCCCATCCAACAAAATAGGACTTACCATGAGGCGGTATAGGGTTGAAATTATGAACAAACCCTGGAACCAGATGAAGGGGCCTCATTTGTCTGAGCCTTAGTTCCTCTGGCTCCAAAAATGAGGACAGCGGTAACAGCATCTGCCTAATTGAGCTTTTAGAAGGATTAAATAACTTAACACGTGCAAAGAGCTTAAAACTGTTCACAGTGCATAGCAAGAAGCCAATGAGCACTGGCTCTCCCTCTTGTTTCTTGTGGAGTGGAACCGGGGGTGGGGGAGTGGGGGGTGGACGAAGAGTACAGAGAGAGAAAATTAGAAACCCAGGCCAAGCGGAAGAAGGCAAGCAGGGAGCTGAACAAGAAGGGCGGCTGTGGAGGATAGGCACTACCCAGCGGATGCCACTTCAGCAGGTTTGGCCTGTTGGGTGGAGGCAGAAACTCAAGACTGACCCAGTGTGGGACGGGAACGTGCCTTGCCGGCTCCGGCCACCAGGTGGCAGCAGCGCAAGGGTGCGTGGCTGGCTTTGCTTTTTTTTCCCGCCCACCCGAGCTTGGATCAAACCCACCCCCATCCCCACCCCCACTCCGGCGGCGCCAAATAAAAACAAAACCCCTGGCACCTACTGCCCGTGCCTAGGTATGTGTTCTTCGGCTTGTTGCTACTGCAGATGCCAGTCAGAGCAGGAGGTTGTCAGCAACTCCCGTTCCCTGAGTTCTGTGCCACCACACAGATGGAGGCCCAGACTGGAAAATAAGACAAGACAAGCCTCGAAGACCCCAGGAGATCAAAGGCGCTCGGCTACTGACTGGTTGGTAAGCTTGCCTTCTCCATGGCCCACCCAGTAGAACACCCCTGTCTCATTAGCACAGAGCCCTGGGCCAGGCTGTTTGAAGGAAGATGGGGTAGGCAGGAGGTTGGGAAACACACCTGAGGTTTTTCTTGCCTCTTGCCAAATTTCCCCGGAACAAAGCACGAGGCATCTATTCCTCCCTTCAGCACACCAGCTCTTAGGATTCCAGGGGCTGGAGAAGCTGGTGTTCCAGATCCAGGGGAAGGGCAATGTACCGCTGTGTACAGGCCCTTCGTGCTTATAAGCTGTGTTAACTGAACCTTAAGGTCAGCCGTGGAAGGGGAAAAGCTATGCAGGGCTCCTGAAAAGTGGAGAGGGGAGAAAGACCAAAGGACCCTTCATGGACATACAGGCATGGAAGGAACGAGTTGCAGGCCGTCTCTTCCTTTTGTTGCCTTCAGGGAAGTTTTTTCTTCATAAGGAATCGATTTAGTTCTGACTAGGCTACAAAAACCTCAAGATCCTAAGCTGGACCTGTTAGAACCTTATCATGCTTTCAGCAAGTACCCGCCACCGTGTGCCCATCCCAAATGAGTTCAGTGGTCCACCACGTAGGCACAGTTGACATTACTGAATTCTGATGCCAGCCGGGGAGCGGAGAGGGGCGGACAGGCGACCCTAAGGACGGGAGGTAGGTACTAGCAGGAGTTCTGCCATCTTCTGCCCGAGGCAACCAGGGAAGCTGCAGTCCACCAAAGGGCCTCTTTAATCCCCGAAGGGGCTCCACTGTCTTGTCAGAGACAATAGTCAAGTTTAAGATATGACTAACAACGCACTTAGCTCCTAGCATAACAGCCTGGATGCTGCGGATGAAACTACAGTTAACTCTGATCTGGACCATTCAATGAACCTGCAGAAAGGAGGCCTGATCCCAGTTGAATGGCAATACGGGATCCAGCGAGACCCCTGCCTGAGGTCCATCCCAGCTCTTGTTAGAATCACATAGATGTTTACTTCGAATCTGTTAAAGTCTACTTTCAGATATACAGAAAAATACTTTTAAAAATTCATTTTATTTAAAGAAAAAAAAATGTAGTAAGCTTATTAAGTAAGATTGGCCTGTGAAGGATTCACAGGATTCACAGGGACTAAGCTCTGCACAGCAGGTGCCCACTCAGCCTCTCCAGACAGGCCAGAATCCAGTGGAGGAAACAATTCAGGAAGACCCGTCTTAGAGAGTTGGGAGGCTGGCTGGTTCCGTAGGCACTCACGTGTAAACAGCCAGTGAACCATGGTCTAGGCAGAAGGTCAAGCTCTCTAGGGCTGACCACAGGATGGAAGGAGACAGACAAGTCACTCTGCCTGCACTCATTTTGAGAATTTCTCCACTGGCAGGTGACTCTGCTTCTCTCTTCTTCTTTCAGGTCAGGCAGAGTGGGGGTAGGGGTGGGATTTGACTCTCCTCAAGCTCAACCCACCCCACCCTCCTTAGTGTCTATTTCAGAGATCAGCCCTGGAGGCAACTCTTCCTCCCATCTCTGGGCACGAATCTGCTGGAGTCAGGGACAGCTGGCGGAAGAGAGTCCAGTCTCTGATGGCTAAGATGGCAGTGGTTCAATCGTAGATGTTTGCTTGCCGTCCTGACCTTACCTGGATTGACAGAAGGGGAACTGCTTTAGAATGCCCTTCCTCTCAGGCCCATCTGGTACCCAGCCAGGTTCACGCCCCTCAGGACAGGGAGGAGCAAGGCCTCTCTCTCCTCCCTTCCCCAGCACACACGGAGCTCAAGGAGGCTGAGCACAGTAGCCTGGATGCCCAGGGGATGAAGGCAAAGGGGCCAGTCTTACCTAGTAAGTCCCTGGACTGCAGCTTTCCTGAGGGGCTGCAGCCTGCCCCGAGCAGCACTGGTGGTTGGAAGATTTGCTCGATGGGAAACAGGAGCTTGATGGGGATTAAAGAGATGAGTTAGCGCAGAGCCGACCTTATCAAAAAGAAAGACTAGGTGAAGGTATGTGCCTCCCCACCAGGGTAAAAGCAGGAGAAACGTGGAAAGCGAGGCATTCCTTCCTTGATCAGCTTTCCCACCTGAAAGTAATATTATACCTGTAGGAGGGTAACAGTAAGCTGGGCTATAGCAGACATTCTACCTAATGTATTCTGTTTTGTTTTTGTTTCTCTAAGACGGGTCTCTCTATATAGCCAAGGTTGTCCTGGAACTCACTGTGTAGACCAGGCTGACCCTGAACTCACAGAAATCTGCCTGCCTCTGCCTTCCAAGTGCCGGGCTTAAAGGCATGTGCAACCACACCCAGCTCTAAATCTCATTTTATTTTTCTTTTGAGACATGGTTTTATATAGCTAAGGCTGGACTCGAACTTCTGATTTTCCAGCGTCTACTTTCCAAGTGCTGAGACTACAGACATGTGCCACCACGCCTAGCCTGACCATACGTCCACTCCTTCTCACCTCTGTGCCCCGAGGCACTTGGAAGCCCTTTCCGAGCTGAGAGAGAATCCGGAGGTAGTGCACTTTTGCCAGGTGGCACGCTCCGACTGGTGGGTGGCATTCGGGTGGCAGGCCTGGGGATGGCTGAGGGGACGGGTAGTCGCTTGGAAGACCTGGCAGCTGTTCCCTGTAGCCGGGGTGAACACTGAGAGCTGGCAGCTGAGGGTTGTGGAGCGAGGACTGGTCTGATAGGGACTGGTGGGCCTGTGGAGAGGAGGACAGGTGTCCCAGGCTCAGTGCCACGCCTCTCTTCCCCATACCCGCCTCACCCACACCTTGGCTGCTGGGTCTCACTTGCTGTCATCCTTGCACTGGGCCCAGCTTTCCGCCGGGATGGGAGGGTCGACTGTGCAAGAGGAGAGAGCCCTGGGCTTTTGGATGCAGCGAACAGATTGCACGTGGGCGATTCCTGAAACAGAGCAAGGAACAAAAAAAGGACCGGAATGGAGACAGTATGTGTTCTGCTGCCTCAAGGCATTAAGGAAAAGAGGTAGGAAGTAGGCCGCTGTCTGGAACCAGTGAGGAAGACATCAGCTGCCAGCAAGATCTGTGATAGGTGCTTCCTTTCTTTTCTTTTCCTTTGAGGCAAGGTTTTTCTGTGTAGCCCTGGCTGTCCTGGAACTTGCTCTGTAGAGCAGGCTGGCCTCAAACCCAAGAGAGTCGCCGGCCTCCCGAGTGCTGGGATCAAAGGCACGAACCACATACATAGCACCCCCTGAGACTGAGCTGAAATCCCTGATCTTCTTGGCTCTGCCTCCAGAGTCGGGGGATGACAAGTATGAATCTGTTCACTTATCTTTACCACATCCATGTATGTGATGCTGGGGATCAACGCGAGGGTTCTGTTTACGCTGGGCAAACACTACCCACTGGGCTATACCTCCAACCCAGTTTACCTAATCCTGACAATCCCAGGGGTAGAATAAGTTCCTCCCTCTGACTAGTGATCGCAACAACTCTAGTGTGTCTCCTACGCCTGCCCAGGTGCACACAGGAAATTCAGCCTCCCACACTCACCTTTTTTACACTGGAGGGCTTCTTTCCAGCCGGCACCCGAACAGCCCTGGCTGACCCCTTTTTATCACCGCTCCGGAGTCCAGTTAGGCTGCTTGGGGGTGGTGTGCTCCAAGAGCTCACAGTGGGCAGCAGATCCCGGACAGGGCTGTCCTTCAGGACGAAGGTCTCCCGCCGGGGGCTGGGCTTCCCTCTGGGGCTGGGCCTCGCAGGGCCTGCGGCTGCGCTCTCGCGGTCTTGCAGGGCACACTCCTCGAGCTGGGCTGCCAGGCGGTTGGCTTCATCGAGGATCTCCTCCAGCTTCTCTGGGCTGAGCGGGCCCAAGCTGAACCTCACACCCTGAACAGCGGGAGCTACTGCGTTCGGGTTACTCCTGTGGGAGAGGCCCCTTCGAAGGGGTTTCTCCGGACTCACCAATACTGTGACGTCTTCCTCCTCGTGACTGAGAAAACAAGTATGGCACCATGCCGCGCAAACAGACAGCAGAAGGCATTCCTGGAGTAGAGTCAGGGGCAGTCCTAAACCCTGACTCCATTTTGGCTATGAGAACTGACATTGGTTCTGTGAGACCCAGTAAGCCTCTGGCATCTCCTATTTTCTTTTCAACTCCACTGCCCATTTTCTGAGACAAGCGCTCAACTCTGCAGACCAGAATGATCTCAATTCAACCCCCAGCCCTTGCTCCACTCTGGTCTATCCTGGGGGGGAGGGGCATCTGCAAGGGCATGACTCAACATGCCCAAGCACATTAGGTGCCTTTCATTTCATTTACACCCAAATTTCACTCCAGCTGCTCCCTTCTCCTCGCCAGCATCGGGAGAAACGTGGTGAAGGCCCGGTTCCACCGGGCTGCTGGCATCAGAGTGCACCAACCCCGGTTCTGGAGGCCAACAAGTTAGCAGTAAAGGCTTACAGCTAAAGAGGTATTGATGGGGGACGAGAAGGGTAAAGAGGCTGGTACCTGTCAGATGGGGACAGCCCTCCAAAGTCCAAGGTCTCATCCACGATGAACTTGACATCTGAAGGAATGAGAAGAAAAAATACCAGCTCTCAGTCCCTGGCAGGCTCTCGGGGCCTCCCTCCTCCCTCCATGGCTTCCTTACCTTCTTTCAGATCCTCCATGTCCAGCCAGAAGAAGCGAGTCTGCTCAGACCTGAGAGACAACACGCCTACCTCAGGTATCTATCATCCTGCCTTTGGCCCCTACCTAGACTCCGGATGCATTATCTGGGATGGTGGTGGTAAAGCAAGATCCCAGGAACAGCACGGGCCCCTGAAACTAATCCGTTATTTTAGGGAAAGCCTCGGAAAGCTCGTGCCCCAACACCTGATGGGCAACAGGCCACTTGCGTCCTGGCCTTTCCTCAGACGGGCAGTCTGCGCCCTCCCTCCTTGTTATTATCCGGGATTTCCCTCCCCGCACCCCACGCCACCTTTCCACTCCCCCCCACCCCCGCACCACACCCCCGCCACACCTCCAGCGCACGCTCCGTTTCCACTTCCCACCCCGCCTCACCGTCCACGCAGGATGCTTTTCTTCTGCTGCCTCTCAATTCCCGGGAATAGGCTCCCGAGGGGCGGGACTCCGTTCGAATTCCTTAGGCTCCACCCACTCCTGCTAGAGGCGCCCAGCGATTGGTGGGGGCGTGGAGGCGGGGCTGAGGCGGGAGCCGTCGGGAAATCAGCCCAAGAAGGTTGTGCTTTGGTCCGCTGCGCAGTTCCCAAAGACTTAAGTCCCGGGCTTCGGCAGGGTGGCGGGCGGAGCCGCGAGTGCGCGCTCGCGTGCCGAGATCGCCTCCTTCTGACTGCCCCCCAGAACCTGTGAGGAGCTGAGACGGGGGAGAGCCGGCCAATCAATGAGGGCTTGGAGCCCCTCCTCTTCCTCCGCCCTACATCCTGGATTCCAGACTCCAGACTGGGTTCAGGTCCTTGCTGGCTTGGTGAGGCCACCAAAGTGACCATCTTTCCAGCTCTCGAGGCACGAGAATTCTTCATTTAGCACTTCTTGGAATTATCTGATATTTTTTTTCTCCCTGCTTCGTCTTCCCAAAACGATGAGTTTGAACAGCTTTTTAAGAGTTTAAATAAATGATGAAGAAATTGTACTTCTAGGCACATAGTAAGAGAGACTTTGTTAAGAAAACATTTCCTAAGTGTCAAATTCATTAATAATAATAATAATAATAATAATAATAATAATAATAATAATAATAATAATAATAATAATAAATCTCAAGGCAGTGCTCTTTAAGTGCAGAAAGATTACCTAACACGAGTAATCTTGTTCGTGTGAAGATTTCTGTTCCTGGCAAGATGTGTGGACTTGAATGGTTGGCCTGCGCAGTTCAGCAAACAGCAGAGGCTGAGGTCTGACTGATCCTCAGGGCACAGTCACTGTGGATATCCTAGCCCCTTCTACCCTAGGCCAGGTGGAAAGAAGCCTCTGCCATTGTATGTGTTGTGCTTGCTCACACACTCTCACCATCTCTTTTCCCTTTAATTTTTTTGTTGGTTGTTTTCTGAGACAGAGTCTAATGTAGCTCACACTGGCCTTGAATTCACCACCTAGCCAAGATTGAGCTCAAAGTCCTGTTTCTCTCAGGTGCTGGGTTTAAAGGCCCGTGCCACCACACTGTAGGACCAGCTCTGAGCCAGAGCTGCAGTTATCTTCAGGTGTTCTGTTGAGCCTGCTCAGGAAAGACCACCACCACAGCTGGGCTTCGAACTGCTCACCTCCTCTCATAGAAGAAAGAGGTGGGGCCAGAAGGTCAGGGGACCCTCACCTGATTAGGCAGCTATCCCTCTCAACCAGTTGTATGCAGTTCTGTCCTAATTGCACATGCTGGGTGGGTGGATGGGTGGGGTTAGGATTTAAGCAGGAAGAGGGGAGGGGAGGGTGTAGCTTCTAGCAGCCATGGGAAAGCCATCCTCTCTGCTGGAGTCAGGCCTTCCAGGGTGGCTGCTGTATAGTCTTCTCTACTTGTGACCCCTTCACCCGTGACTCTGTAAGTTACCTATTAAGTTCATTATTTCCGCTGGATAAACCTTGGTGGACTCCTGCTGTTGTTTGTCACTGGGACCTTAACAAAAGGGGTGGACATTGTTTATGTCTCTCCCAGAGAAGAAATATTAGCAACAGCCACCAAGCCTGGCTGTCTCCCACAATCTCAAACAGGTGTTCCATGAGGACATTAGACTTGATAATTGTTTTCTCAGTTTTCCCAGTAAGTAGTTGGGTTAATTTATGACAGGAGGTATCATCACGTGGAAGCTTAATTCTCACAGAACTCCGGTTGGGAAGGGCTGGAATAGACTCAGCCTCAAAGTGAAAGTGGATCTCTTTGGTTTGAAGGAAAAAGCCTTTTGGATTTTTCTCAGCCAATGCAAGTCCCCTTTCCTCTCAAAAAAAAAAAAAAAAAAAAAAAACGTGGCCTAATATCCTTCCACCGGAAATATTTTCTCTTTAAGCCCATGTTTCCAACCCAGACTCTCTGGGTGATGTAAATGAGAGAAAATAAACGGGGAAGGTCTGCAGTCCAACCATGACTTGGCTTGTGAACTCAACTTTCTCATTTGGTAACATGAAGATTAAAAAAGGGAAATCACTTTGTTCAGTTCCTGATGAAGGCTATTTCTCTCTCCCTCCCTCCTCCTCCCTCTCCTTCCCTCCCTTTCTCTCCCCTTCTTTTCCCTACCTCCCTCTTCCTCTCTCCTCCTCCTCTTCTTTTCCCTCCCCGTCTCCCTCCTTTCCTCCCTCTCTCTTATTTTCCTCCCTAACCTACTCCTGCCCTTGCTTTCTCTTGCTCAGTAGAGCTCTCACTAAGTTCTTGGAACCAGGGGCACCACAGGGACGGAAGGCAGCTTCAGGTACCAGTTGGGTCCCCTGAGCTTGTCCTTCTATTGACTTTCTCCAGGGTTCACTCTTGATGCTACTTATGTGCAGTGCAATCTTAGATCGACATACTTCTCTAGGGCCTCACAGGAAGATGCTCACTGCAGCAAAGTTTTAATGCTGAGGGAACCAAGGCAGCTACTGAGCCCCAATGCTCTACCACTGAGCTACAGTTCTCTATTATGTAATATACCACTTAAGACAAATGGCTTCAGAGCGGAGCATGGTAGCACATGCCTGCCGTCCCAGCACCTGGGCAATCAAGGTAGAAGAATTCTGTTATTTTGTCTTTTTTTTTTTTTTTTTTTTTCCAGAGCTGAGGACCGAACCCAGGGCCTTGCGCTTGCTAGGCAAGCGCTCTACCACTGAGCTAAATCCCCAACCCCAAGGTAGAAGAATTCTGAATTAAGACTTTCTCTCTTTTTCTGTGTGTGTGTGTGTGTGTGTGTGTAGGGGTGTTTACTGAGACAGGGTTTTTCTGTGCAACATCCCTGGCTGTACTGGAACTCGCTCCGTAGACAAGCTAACCTAGAACTCACAGAGATCCACCAGCCTCTACCTCCCAAGTGCCACCACCACCCTGGCTTGAGTTGAGGCTCTTTAAAAAACTATTTTTTTCGTCTTTATTTTATGTGTACGTGTAATTGCATGTATGTCTGTGCACCATGTGTGTGTGCCTGTTGCTGCAGAGGCCGGAAGAGGGCATTTGACCACCTGGAACTGTAGTTACTGATGGTTGTGAGCCATAGTGTGGGTCCTGGGAACTCTTCCAGGCCCTCTGGAAGAGGGGCAAGTGCTCTTGACTGCTGAGCCAGGATAAGGAGCATAAAGGAATGGGAGGGACCATTGTCCTCTTTTTACAGACTCCATCACAGAGTAGCTTCAACGTATGACTTGTTACAAGTATGCAAGCAAACGGAAGCGAGAGAAAGAGCATCCCAGGGCTCAGGTCTTGGGGCCCCGCCTTTAATTGTATGCGGGGTTGTGCTGGGCTGCTTTGCAGCAGGTGTGCATCCTGTAACGCCAGCTTACAAAGGAAAGCCTGTGGGGGAGGGTGGCAAAGCACCCTCATCATTTTCCAGCACCTCCTGCTGTGTAGAATTGAATTCAGTCCTGTTGCAATCTGCCTGGGGTAGGTTGATGACATCAGAAACCTCTGTGGATGGGTTGGCGCTGTGGCCCACTTGGTAGAGTGCTTACCTAGCTTTCATCTAGTCCTGAATTCAGGGCCTAAGATCCCAGAAACTGGATAGCACAAGCCTGTAACCCCAGCACTCAGGAAGTGGAGGCAGGGGCAGCAGAAGTTCAAGGACATCCTTGGTTGACATACGGAGTTCAAGACCAGGCTGGAATAATACAGAAACCTGTCTCAAAAAGAAGTCAGTGCAAGGGACAGGGATGAACATACTTGTCTAAGAGAATGTGCGGGGGTGAACTAGAATAGAAACAAAAGATGAATCTTAGGGTTCTGGAGTCAGCTAGACTTGCTGAAGGACGGTGACCTTCATAAGTTTTTCCTCTTGTAGAAAGGCTCAGGAAGAAGACATCTCAAGAACTGAGGAGCTACACATTTATTTAGTCAAGCCAGCTAATGCTCCTTGAGTACACAGTCTTGTCAGAGTCAGGGTCCCAGGAGGCGCTGAAAAGAGAAGGCGTGTCACAGCTATCGCAGGAGACAGACAGAACACATCCCTCCTCTGGCTCTCTGGGTCCAGTGCTATAAATTCACTACCCACCATGGTTTGCGTCTGAGCACAGGCTGGGAGACAGAAGGAACCAAGGATAAGTAAGATCAACACTGGGATTGATAGAGAGGGCCGGGAAGGAGAAGGATGTCTATAAGCCAGCTGGCAGAGAAAGCTCTCCTGAGGAGAGTTTGTGCAGCCCTTAGGGTTTTCATTTGCTATGTATCATTGATGAGCTTAAATAAATGGTTTGAGGGATCAAATTCGTGCTCAGTTGTCTTCATCAAGGAGCTGAAGGTCAGGGAATGTTGGGACCTAGTTCTCTCATTCTCTCCTTATCCATCAGTTTATACACAGCGCTTTCTCCTGTGAACGATGGGGAATTTTGAAGCAGCTACCACATTCTAGGTAACAATCCAAGTGGCTGTTTGCCAGTGATGAGGCACTTGGGAACCACACGCCAAAATGTTAAATTATTGTTGACATTTAACAACAACAATAAGATTCTCTTCTGTTGAACAGGAAGAAATGCATAAAAATAAAATATACGCAAGCACACACGCACGCACACAAAGAACATGAACAAGCTAATTTGTTTCTTAGCCTGCTTACAATACTGAGGTAGAGAGATTAGCAGACCTATTTCTACCCACAGTGTGGTTCTGTGGTGGTGGAGACTCTGTTCTCTTTCTCCTACAGCCCCCACGCAGCTCTTCCCACAGAGCCCCCTGAGCAGGTAGAAGCTCAAATTCTCCAAGGATTATTAGGTTTCATCCCTATCATGGACCTGAGTAGAAACACACAGGACTTGACAAAAGTAGACTTTAGCTACACCAGTTCCCTCTGCAGAGCTGATACTGTTAGGGTTAAAATAAAATAAAAGTTGGGTGGTGGTGAGATCATGCCTTTAATTCTGGCACTCAGGAGGCAGAGGCAGGTGGATCTCTGTGGATTCTAGGCCAGCTTGGTTTATAGAATTAGTTCCAGGACAGCCAAAGATACATAGTGAAACCCTGTCTCGGAAAGAAAAAGAAAGGAAAGGAAAGAAAGGAAGGAAAGAAAAAGTCCCCATGGGCACATGGTTGAGAGGCTCACATTCATCCCAAACTCAACAGCGTTTGCTGCGAACATTAAATAATTCATCAAGGCACCATTTCCCCTCTTCCTTACCTTCCTCGGATATCCTGTTTTCTTAGGACAGCCTTAATGAGGAGCTGTAAAAATGCAGACATTTCTCAACGTTAACGTTTCATAAATCTCTGGGAGACTGTCTCTTAGAGCATTGGGAATGGATGTCCTGCTTATGCTTTGGGGGTGTCCATAATGCTAGCTGGGGAGTCTACACATGAATGGGATCTATAAAGGCTACTCATTCCTGATTCATGCAACAAATGTTTAGCTACAGCCTTCTGTGTGTCAGCAACT